CTTAAAACCCAGATAAAATTTAGAAACCTCAATACAACCACGGTTACCCTTTCTGTTTTTAATTTTTAACTACTTAGAATGAAAAAGAATTTAAAAGCTCTGTAGTAAAATATAGCCAGTTATTACCCCAAAATTGTGTGCATGCATGTTAAGGGCTCCACCTCCTTCACTTAAAATGAACAGAGTGGAATAGAAGAACAGTTCACAACTGACCAAGGAATGAATATGGTCTCTGAGGTGAATGAGGGAAGCCAGAGAAAATGCTCTGAATGTGGATGAAAGATTGAGGAAGGTACACAGATTACAATAAAGATGAGTTTATGAAGAAGAAAATCCACTTCTGTGAGTGAAGTTAATTTTGCAGAAAGGCAGCAAAGCCTGAGAGGTTATAACTATGTATCATTAAACAGATGAGAAACAGGATGGGATTTTCTCAACTGTATTTTCTTAAATACCATCCAAGGTGAGTAGACTTCCCATTTTACATTCCATAAGAGATATAACTGAAAACTAAAGTAGTATGACTATGACCAATACCTTCCTGAGGAGCTATCTATCATACAGTTTAGACATAATGTCATAGATAATGGCTAAGATGAACAGACAGCTTTAACTTGTCCCAAACTTTCCCTAGTCAAAATGGACAACCAAAGATGCTGTCACATTCCAGCCGAGTACCGGGTTATTCTGGACAGCACAGCACCCTTGCTGGGCTGTCCAGCTCCGCGCTCCATTTACACCTGGTAAGCTGTTAAAAGTGGAATCCTCAGAACTACCTTCTTTAACTTCTCTAGCATTTCTAAACTTCGGGTATAATCTAAATCCCAGCTCTCAATCTGGTAAACAAAAATCCATATCCTTTGCACCTTGCCAAACCTTTTTTGGGTGTCAGGACCAGGGGTTTATCATTGCCAAACTGTACAAGGGAGCATCAAAAAGTTCATGGAATTTTTTTTAAAGCATGAAATTTTCCACTTTTTGCAGCACCCTCATATTTATGGTGAAAGGTCTTTCTTAAGGGATATCCATCCTGGCAATTAATACTGTCCAGCAAGCTGACCACTGTCTGTGCGAGGGCATCAAGTTCCTGCTAGTATTACATATACAGTCCTGAGCAGCTCCTTCCTGATTGCAAATGGAACGTATTTAGGGAAAACCAACCCTGTTCCCTTCCCCTCTATGCTAGTGCCAACAATTAAAACAATTTAACACACATCTTAAACGTGAGATAAAACAAGATACGAATAATTCATATCTATATATTGTTCCTCCCTCCTACGATACTTTAAAAACACAAGTATTTCCCAACAGTTCTGAGTATAACATAGGAAAGTTATTTGTCTTCCCCTGTAACATGTCAGATTTTAACTAGAGGAAAAAAGGTTAAGTGACTTACCCACGGTTACAATTAGAGGTACAGCTGGGGCTAGAAACCAGGTCTCCTGAGTCCCAGCCCAGTGCTCGCTTCCTTAGCCCACGAAGCCTTATTTAGAAAAATCCAAATACAGTCAGACCCCCAGGTACCTGGGTACGAGTTACACTGATTCACATATACAAACTTGATATAGTGTGACCAATGTTTCAACTCACGCGGTACCCTGCTTCCATTTAGGCAGTATGCCAGGCAGCGGCACGGTTTTCAGTGGCACACAGGCGGTTGCCACCACCAGGGCCCTAGGCAAAATTGCAAAGAAGGCAAAGTTTGTCTTTGGCCCTCCCACCTCCTGGTCATCCCCCGGCCCAGCCTCCCAGTGCCACATGCTGGTCTGCTCATCCACCCGCCTCTCCTCCCACAACCCCACATCACCACTCACCCTGGCGTGACTTGTCTACTCTGCCCAGTGACCCAAAAGTCCCTCCCCATATCCCTGCCACCAAAATCCCTGGTTCCTGCAGATTTCAGTATAGTTAGGTAATTGGTTGGTGATTGAAGCTACATTGAACTAGAAGACCTCAATCTCCTAGAAATTTAAAAAGAGAACTAAAAGCTGTTGGAAAAGGATGGGAGGGAGGAGGGGAGGGAAGGGGAGAAGAGAAGTAAGGCTGTCTCAGTGAAGGCCTGAACCTCTGATGCGTGTGCTATTCCAGATCCCCTCACACAAGACACTAAAGACACCCGCCAAGAGAATAGTTGCTTACTATTAAGTCTCTAGGATTTAATAACAGACAACAAGATGTCAGAAACTGCCTTAGGTACATCCTACTACCTACCCTTCCTCCCCACTCCTGGATCCCCAGAGATCCACCTCTTCGTGCCAAGGACCCCCAACAGCAAGCATTCCCTGTAAGCGGTTCTTGTGCCTAGCACGTGGTTTCAAAGACACAGAGTTATTCGGACTGCATCCATGCTCCCCTACCCCTGGTTAACTTCAAGTTGACAATATGCTAGGAAAAAAAACAATCCTAATTATATAAAGTTCTTTATTCATAAAATGAAGTATGTAAACTCATTAAGTAGCTGATAAAAAGGAATGAATGTTCTGGTTCTTATACTAATCACATAAAAGACTCATTTGGGTCACTTTTAAAACAAAAAACAAACCTATTTCATTCCTTATCCCTGAGGGTAGTATCCTATTTCTACCCTAACAGCAGTGAGGATTCAGCCATTTCAGCTCAATGACATTGGAGATTCATACACCCAAATTCACATAGAAATCCTCTAAGCCTGAATGCAAAAAAAAAAACCCAAAACCATTTTTGATCCACTAACAGACACATAAAAAGTATAAATTTACTTTATATACTCGAGTATAAGCCACTCCAACTATCAACAGGCACCTATTACCACAAAAATTGCATTTAAAATGTGCTGAAAAAACTCAGCTTATACACGAGCATACACAGTATTTGTATACAGAGCATGGATTTTAAGAAATCCCCATTTCTGCTACATAAACAATTGTGCACGTGTGTGCACATATATTTAAGTTACAGTAGTTCTGAGATACTAGAAGGGCTGTTTCAGAAATATATCAGGTGGTAAAGGTTACACCTTGCCCCAACCACCCTCCCACAAAGTTAGGAAATCCAATCCATACAGAAGAAGCAAAAAAAGTATCCATCATGAATGGAATCATCATACCAAGTCTAAAGGATTTCCACAACTTTAGTCCAAAAAATTCTGTTGGCTAAAGCCCTGGATTTAGGAAACCCTCTGATTCATTGGAAAAGGTGCACTGGTAAGAGATGTTACAGTAAGGTCAACTATGCCTACTTAGACAAATGATTGTTTTTAACTACCTGCACTTCCAAAGGTTTACTAACCAAATACCACCATTTCCTTCCCAATCTTTCCTCCCATTCTACAACACCCCCACCATAGGTTTGCCATCTACACCTGCTTGCCTCTAAGTTCCCCAAAAAAGGTTCTAATGTGGGTTTGTATTAAGGCTCTAAAAAGCCAACCTAATTATATGCTGCTTGAAGGATGAGTCCACTAAATGGTTTTCCCACTTTTCCGCCACACGTTTTACCGTAAAGCACTCCATTATGAGACTCAATTATGAGTGTTTGTGGAGAAAATAAAGCACCTTTTCAGCAGCTTGGAAACAATTTACCTGAACAAGAACCAAATAAAAATAAACAAGGGTCTTCTTTCCAAAGAGAAGGGTTGATCTTTCTAGACCTTTCCCCCTAATTAGCATGGGTAGTCTTTGAACATGAAAGAGCGCATTACTGACATCAAAAAAGCAGCAGACTGTCATCTTTCGGCTCAAAAATTCACTCCATGACAAAGGAACCTCCGGTCATCAGCTTTGACCTAAGATGAGGGCTCTTTCCTTGCCCTCCATTTCCAAAAGATCTTACTGGGGCCACTGGCAAAATCGGTCAGTGTTTACTGGACATGGCCTCAAGTCAATCATGTAACAAAATGGAGGACTCTCCGAAAAATAGACCACAGCGTCTGTGGATTCCCCCCCGCCCTTTCACAAAATGGGGCCAAAGACACCCAACTCCAGGAAACCATGGTTTGGGCAGGATTCTCACGAAAGAATGGTCGGGAGCGCAATGCTGGGCGGGTAGAGTCTGGAGGGCAGGATTCCTGGGGACCCAGGAAAAGGGAGGGGAGACGTCTCGCTCGACGCCCGGGAGAAGGGCGCGGCGAAGGAGGACCCCTGAGTTCTGGACTAAGTTCCGGGACCGAGGCGCCGTCAGCCCGTGGGTTCCCGAGCAACGCGAAACCGCCGCCGAGTGCGCAGGTCTGGGTCGCAGTCAAGTCAACACTGAAGGCACTCTCCGCTCCCTCCGGGCCCCGCCTCGCCTCATTGGCAGCCGTTCCCGCCAATCCGAACAGGCACCGCCCCTCACCCGCCCGCCGAGGCCTGATTGGACGGGACGGGTGCCGGGCCCTCGTGGTACCAATCTGGAGCCCCTTCCTCACACACGCTCACGCCCAGGTGCGCCCGCGCCCCGACCCGCCGCCCCTCCCCCACCTTGGGGCCCGGTGCCTGCTTACCGTCCCGGGACGTGCCCATCAGCTGGTCCAGCATCGCGC